GTTGGAGTCCGCAGCAAGCAAGCCTCCCTGCTAGCTTCAGTGCCTGGCTGCCGGACGCCATCTTGGCTGACAGTTAATTTGCATATACTCACTGATTAGCCAATGAAAAGGGTAGCGGTCGTACGCCAATTACCATGTTTCTCTTTTATTAGTGTAGATGTGTAAGTTCTATGACTGTGATAAAGAGAGAAACAGAAGAGGCTGCTCATGCAGTCTGAAGATTTGGGAAGAATTCCTTGGAAGAGATGATAGCTGAGCCAAGACTTAAAAAATGAAGACATTTATTGAACACTCAAATTTTGAGCAATTACATTTCATATTTGGAAATATATAAGAATTGGCTAATTCAGGGAATTTTAGCAAATACTGGTAAAGGCTGGATCATAGGTGAATGTGGTGGAGTGGGATAAGTAGTCTGTGGCCAGATCATGTGGACCATTATATGATACACTAAGATAGTAGGAAGTTAATGAAATATTGTCCTCATATTGCTTTTATTAATGTTTATGCAAGTAATTTTTCATCTTTTATTTATGTGGAAAACAGGAAGGTATTTGAGAACAGCATATACAAAGCTATATTTACTAGGGATTTTGATAAATGCTATACTTAGCACTTCAATTTCAGTCTTGAAGAACCAACTGCCATTCCCAAACCTTATGGTACAAGGTTCTCTGTGTTACAGTCTTTGTGTTTTTTGGTTCTTCTTTTTAGTAATGCTTAGCTTAATGGAAAGGAAGACCAAAGGTACTTCACTAGGCAAATCGTAATGCAACTGCACTGGGTTGAATAGTGTCTCTCAAAATTTCATGTTAATGCAGAACCCCATCGTGACCTTAGGAAATAGAAATCTACAGATGTAATTAGCTAAGTTAATATGAGGTTACTGATTTAGGGTGGGTTCAAAATCAAAAAAATTGCATCATAACAAGAAGAAAATATGCAGACAAAGGCATAGATTGGAGTTATGCTGTCATAAACCAAGGAACACCAACAATTGCTGGTAGCAAGGGGCAGTTACTTCTTTAGAGCCTCCAGAAGAAACCAGCCCTTCCAGCAACTTGATTTCTAACTTCTAGCCTCATGAACTGTGAGAGAATAAATTTCTATTTTTTTTTTTATTTCAGCTCTAGTAAATAAATACAGCAAACAAGAAAAAAATATACCTAAATGTTGTTAGGAATTTCTCAAGTGATTTTTTCTAGATGGGACTTTATTCCAAACATTTCAAACCAGACTTAATGGATAGATGAATAAGTTTTAGGAAATCTTATTATAATTAAATCATCTACTAGTATAATGTGAAAAAGTCTATATAAATTTCAAGATCTTAGAAAAATATTAGTGTCCTTCTACCAGTGGTTCTCAACCTTCCTAATGCCGCGACCCTTTAATACAGTTCCTCATGTTGTGGTGACCCCCAACCATGAAATTATTTCCATTGCTACTTCATAACTGTAATTTTGCTACTGTTATGAATCATAATGTAAATATCTGATATGCAGGATGTATTTTCATTGTTCACGACCCACAGGTTGAGAACCACTGCTGCCTATGTATTTATTCAAATATTTAATTCTTATTTATGCTTTGTCATGACAAATAGATAATCATTTTTACAATTTATTTTCTCTTTCTATTTAAGGTTATTTTATTTGTCCTACCTTGAGGAACTTGATATTTCCTACAATAGTATTGCTTCTATTCCAAATGAAATCCAGAAACTCAGGTATTTTGGAAGTAATAAGTACACAAAAAATCATATTCTCCTGAAGGGTATATTTGGTGATGATGGAGAAAATTCAGTTCATTCATTTATTTAATAACCATCAACTATATGTAAAGCAGCCTGGCCGGTGTGGCTAAGTGGTTGGGCCTCAACCTATGAACCAGGAGGTCATGGTTCGATTCCCAGGCAGGGTCATGCCAGGTTTTGGGCTCAATTCCCAGTAGTGGACATGCAGGAGGCAGCCAATAGATGATTCTTTCTCATCATTGATCTTTCTTTCTTTCTTTCTTTCTTTCTTTCTTTCTTTCTTTCTTTCTTCCTCTCTCTCTTTCTCTTTCTCTCTCTCTCTTTTTTTCTCTCCCTCCCCCTTCCTCTATGAAAGCAATACAAAAATATATATTTTTAAATGTGAAGCATACAATTTACCAAAAGGTAATTTGAATGATTGGCACTCTGTGTTTTTAGGACATAACGTTTCCAATAATTATTTAAAGAACAGTACTGATGTCCACTAATAGAATGACAAGCTACTCCTGTCTATTTTTTCACCTGTGCTCCTGTAGTTCTTAACAGCTTTATTTTATTTTATTTTATTTTATTTTTGTAAGGAGATAGATATACACAAAATGCTAATAATACACAATGTAATTTTAATGCTAAGCTCCAATTCTTTCTCACATTAATCTTTTAAAAGTCTCTGAAGTTTATCTATATCCTTCTAGGTCAGTACCATACTATTTTGATTATGACTTTAGGATATTTTTAATAGCTATTAGGGAGATTAGATTTCAATAATAGTCTCTTAACTATTTTCTTTAGATCATGATCTTTAAAATATTTTATATAATTCCAAGCCCCTCCTCACCCAAAACACATAAACACAACATTGGGATTTTAATTGGAATTCCCTTGAGTTTACATATAAATTTTGAAGAATTCTCATTTCTGATGATAATAAATATTTTTGTCCTAAAACATAGTATTTTTTTATTTGTTCAGGTTTTATTTCATATTCTTCATAAGAATTTATTATTCACTTCACATAAGTCCTTTGTCTTTCTTACTAACCTTTCTAAGTATTTTATAATTGTGTTGCTACTGAGTATGTAGTATTTTCCCTAATTTTTTTCTAGCTCACTATTGCCAGTACAGAAGAGAAAAAAACTTGTGCTTCTTTACATTAATTTAAAATCCTTTTATGTAACCAAATTATTTTATTAGTTCTGGTTGAGTTTTACTAGATTTTCTTTGGTTTACAAGAAGCATAATCTTAACTTCAACAAAATTACATAATTTGTCTCTACTTTTCTAATATTCATACCAATTATTTAATTTATTTGTATTTTATTAGGGGAATTGAAGCTGTTCACATTTGAAATCCCTTCCATTTTACTTTGTATTTACTATCTATTTACTTTCTCCTTTTCCTATATGTTTCTTTAATATTTTTTTCAGGATGTTATTTGTTCTCTTTTTTCTTCCTTGTTAATTTCAGAAATCTACTGTACTTTTCAGTGTCTTACTAGCTATAATTTCTTTCCCAAAACTCATAAACAAATACATTTTTCTTTAATATCTTACAAAAACAAGCTAAAAATCCCCTAGCATCATAGTCTGTCTCCTCACTGCTGTGTTCCACCAATAGTTAAGACCTTTAGAATACTTTCATTTTCCTGCTTTCCTGAGTTCCTTCTCAATGCACTTACCCCTTATCTAGTTATAGATTTTGCTGAGACAGTTTAGGAACTTTTATTTCAGATTCTCATTAGTATTTTTCCTTTCATTATGTCTCTTTACTCAAAGAATATTTATTTAGCACTTAGATCTCACAAGCTTAACAAATAAAGCAATGTCTCTCATTGGTGGGCAATCTCACATTACAGCCCTTTCACAAGCAGTTTCCATCCTCACATCCTCCTATAGCAGTGATGGCGAATCTTTTGAGCTCGGTGTGTCAGCATTTTGAAAAACCCTAACTTAACTCTGGTGCAGTGTCACATATAGAAATTTTTTGATATTTGCAACCATAGTAAAACAAAGACTTATATTTTTGATATTTATTTTATATATTTAAATGCCATTTAACAAAAAAAAATCAACCAAAAAAATGAGTTCGCGTGTCACCTCTGACACGCATGTCATAGGTTCGCCATCACTGTCCTGTAGCTTCCAGAGTTGCACATGAGGTATCTGCTGCCAGTTTAATTTCTTTTTCTCTTTACGTGGTTCTTATTTTTGTCTGGAAAGACTATGGTTTTCTCATTATCCTTGATCTTCAGAAATTTTGTCAGATTATGCTTAACAGTATGTCTTTTTTTATAATCTGTTTAAAAGTTTCCTGCATCCAATTTCACTCTGGTAGGGGGCACACCAACAAGCAATTCTTGGACACTAGCTGGATGTATTACAATTCAACTCAATTCTGACACTGTCTCCCTGGAGACAGCATTAGATCCCACTGGTTGTAGGCTCAGTCCCACAAGACTGCCCCACTTCAGATGCCTCTAGGAAGCCTCGGTTGTAAATCAGAGGTTCCCACAAGCCTTTCTCAGGTGTAATTAATTTGCTAGAGCAGCTCACAGAACTCAGGAAACCTATTTACCCTCTAGATTACCAATTTATTACAAAGGATATATATTTAAAAATACAAATGAACAGCCAGATGAAAAGATACATAGGATGAGATCCTGGACAAAATAGCTTCTGTCCTCATGAAGTTTGGGGCTCAGTACAGTTGTACAGTGAAGTGTTCTGGTCCCCACACCTGGAAGCTCTCCGAATCCCCTCCTTTAGGGTTTTTATGGAGGCTTCACTACATAGGCATGATTCCAGGGGTCCTCAAACTTTTTAAACAGGGGGCCAGTTCACTGTCCCTCAGACTGTTGGAGGGCCGGACTATAGTTTAAAAAAAAACTATGAACAAATTCCTATGCACACTGCACATATCTTATTTTGAAGTAAAAAAACAAAACGGGAACAAATACAATATTTGTATTTGCATGTGGCTCGTGGGCCGTAGTTTGAGGACCCCTGGATTAGACCATTGGTGATTGATTCAACCTCCAGCCCTTCTCTGCTCTCCAGAAATGAGGGGTCCACCCCTCTAGTAATGGTTGGTTGTGCTGGCATCATGCACCATTCTCAGGTGCTTTCCAGCAGTCACCTCATTAACATAAACCTAGCTGTGGTAGAAAGGGGCTTGTTGTGAATAGCAAGACACCCATTTTATTTTTATGGTTCTGAAGCAGTTTCAGAAACTTAGGAGACCAAAAATAACAGATGTTCCCATTGCTCCTATTGCTCAGGAAATTCCAAGTGTTTGGGGAGCTGTGGGCCAGAAACTGTGGATTCAGAACTAATATATATGAGAAATATATTTTGGTCATCTGAGTGTCCAAATATATGTTTCTTATGAATCATGATATCACGTCTATTTTTATTGGAATTTAGTGAACTCGTCTAACCAGCCAGTTCAAGAAGGCATTTATCTGTTATACTATCAACAATAAAAAATATATCAAACTTTTTTTAAATTAAGAAATGTTTCATTATTGCCTCTCCTACTCCATCTGTTTTATTTTCTCTTCCTGAAGCATCTATTACTTACATGGTAGGTATCCTGGATCTGTCTTCCATGACACCTACATTGTTTATCATTATTATTTTTAAAAATGCTCTTGCTCTATTTCAGTTATTTCTTCTACTTATTTCAGTTATTCTATTTTGTCTTTACCTCTAACTCAGATCTCTACCAATACCATGTTCTTCTTCAGTTCATCCACTTAATTTTTTCAGTTTTACAAATCATGTATTTTGGTTCAAGAATGTGTGTGTGTGTGTGTGTGTGTGTGTGTGTGTGTGTGCGCGCGCGCGCGCGCGCACGCGCACGCGCACACACACGCTCTATTTGAATCTTATTGTTTCTCCTGCTCCAACTTCTTTTCTGTCTCCACAGAGAAATAAGTAAAGAAGTGCTTGCCTTAGGAAAATGGTTTTGTATGTTTTATTTCTTTTTCTCTTCTGGCTGCCCTATCTTCTGCTCAGGTCTAATAGCTCTGTGTGTGTGTGTGTGTGTGTGTGTGTGTGTGTGTGCGCGCGCTCTATTTGAATCTTATTGTTTCTCCTGCTCAAACTTCTTTTCTGTCTCCACAGAGAAATAAGTAAAGAAGTGCTTGCCTTAGGAAAATGGTTTTGTATGTTTTGTTTCTTTTTCTCTTCTGGCTGCCCTATCTTCTGCTCAGGTCTAATAGCAGTCTCAGAGTACCATTCAGAGCATCAAGAGTGTTAGTGGTGTAGCTGGAGGACGTTTCTCTGCTACCCAGGATGTCAGATGCAAACATTATCTCAACATGGAGCTCTTTAAATACTATTTAGCCTTAAAAACTAGTTAGCCTACTGAGCATCCCCAGAACTCTTTGAGAGGAAGGGTGCACCCATATTGGTGGGACCTCTAAGATAAATCAACTCAGGCAGGGCAGCCTCACCAATGGAGGTTCTGGGGACTCTCAGTGGCATTTCCCTAGTGTGCACCACACTTATTCCGATTGTCCAGAGGGCTCTCTGCTTCTGGCCCCTAGGTTGTGTTTGCTTTAGAGAAAAATGTGACTATGCCAGCTCTCTCCTTGGGGACCAAAGCGGAGCTAGGGTCTGGCTCACCCTTTCTAGACTGTGAGAAGCATAGTAGTCAACTGTGATGGAGGCACAAAGCTAGCTGAGGTACCCTCTTCTTAGCCTCATTGTCTTAAATACTTTATTTGACCATTATCAGCAGGAATCATAATTAAAAAACTTAAATTGTCTGTATAAGAGATGTGAAACTAGACTGCAAATGAGAATCTATAGCCACCACCACCCCAAAATCTTTATTTAAAGACTGTTTATTACCTAGTCTTTTTATTTAAAATCTATAGCTAGTTGGTTATATCAATATCTTCCCTCCTAATACATTTGACAAGTTGGGCCAGCTTTTTTTTTTTTTAATTTTGTTCTATTGCTTAAAA